TAGACAAGCTTATGAATAATCTTGTATTACATTTTCATATATTAGATTTAAAAAGAAAAATTTTTATGAATTTCAAACTCGAAATTATTTGCAAATTTTCGTAATTTTTAGGTACGTATTTTGTCAATATTTGAACTCTAAATGCTTATAACAAAAAACTGTGACTGCGATTTTCTGTGATTTTTAATATTTTTCAAATGTCAGCGTAACAATATATTAGGAGCCTTGTATTAAATTTTCAATTATTTTTACTCAACAAATAATGTTTTATTAACATTCATAGAAAAAAAACTAATAAAATGGGAAACTGAAAATGTCCCTAAAGAGTATATCAAAATATTTTGAAAATGTTATCATGTATAGAAAATTGAAATATAAACAACCAGTGAAAATGTCATATATATACGTTCATTTGTTTTAGAGTAGATAACTACAAAAACCAAAATCGATTTTGTGGAAAACCGATTTGGCGTAAAAATTCCCGTTTGTCCTTAATTTTTATGCTGTTTTTCCAGGCGCATGTGAAAACTATTGGGAATATTAAAATTTGACCTGCCGAATGCACTAACTAGATTCACTTTCAAATCGAACAAAATAAGTTGAAAATCGAAGCAATTATTTCGACTACAATATATCGTGCATATACCCAAAAATACAATTTTAAAAATTTTAAAAAAACACACATTTTTGTAAAACCAAGACATTCATCGCTCTGCTCAGAATCTAAAATGACAAACAGGCTAAATTATTATAGTTTATTTTGAATCCCTGCATATTCCTTAATCCTTTGAAATTAATAACATCCCTGCTATATTATCGAATGAACATCTATCATAATATGAGTAGGTACTTAAAAACAAAAAATTTGTTATAAAGCTATTAAGACTTAACATAAAATAAATGTTTCAAAATACACATATCACAGAAGTTATATTTGATATCTCGTAGATGTGACATAATATAGTCGTACCTTTCGTAGAAATTTCAAAAACCAACCTTCTTTAAATTAACGTATCAAAATTTGCTCAATAGCAATCCCAATTTACACTTAGATCTGTATTACATAGATTTTATTTAATTAACTATATATATTTAGGTAGTTATTAGTTAATATTCTCACATGACTACCTATGGGATTTTCCTAGGTTTGCTTTTTGCTCAGTGCTTTACACTTAAATTTAGTTTAGTGTGTCACTCGATTATCTAAAGTTTTCTAAAAATTATCATAGACAGATTAACAAAGCCAGGTACACCATTGCTGATTTTCCAGTGAACTGAAATATCTTATATCCGAGTTAATCTATATATTTGATATTTGTTCAATTTTTCTGAAGTCTGGTTATACGTCTAGTAGGTAGTATATTGTTATATAGGTACTTATACACAACTATTAACTAATAATTAATAAGCTATTAGATTTTGAAAATGTTTTCTTTACATATTTAATACATTTTCTCGCATGTTTTATATCATAGGTATATTTGAACTTCTATATCTATACATTCCAAACCTTGTATTGAATTTACAATGATGCGTGTTTTTTTTTATTTTTTATTTTTGTGTCTGTGTACACGATAAGTAGTCGAAATAATGCTTCGATTTTCAACTTTAGTATCTTGTTCCATTGGAAAGTGAATATCGTTGGTGCATTGGGGAGGTCAAAAACTCAAAATTAAAAATTCCCAGTAATTTTCAAAAGTGCCAAAATTGAATTTGGTTTTTAGTGTAACTTTAAAACAAATTACCGTAGATACATGAAATTTTCACTGGTTGTTTATATTTGCATTTTCTATAAATGGTAACATTTTAAAAATATTTTGATTTATTTTGAACTGTTTAGGGACATTTTCATTTTCCATTTTTTTTTTTTAGTTTTTTTCTAAAAATATCAATAAAATTTTATTTTTTGGTTAAAAAGTCTTGAAAATTTAATAGAAGGCTCATAGAGTATTGTTTCAAAGGCCGATGAAAAATATTAAAAATCCTTAGAAACATTTTTTTTTTTATAATCATTTAAAGTTATAAAATTGACAAAATATAGAAAAATCACGAAAATTAGCAAATTATTTTGAGTTAAGAATTTGTAAAAAATTTTCTTTTTAAATCTAAGATTTTAAAATTGAATACAATATTCCTTATAATATTATCTACCTTTATAAAAAAAAATCTCTACCGGACAGTCAAATTAAATTTTTATGAGCGTTTGAAATTCAAATTTTTACAACATTGGATGTTTACTCGATTTCTCATGTAGCGATTTCCTTATTTTGTTGTTATTCATCAACGAATAACTATAGATACATGAAAATTTCACTGAATGTTTATATTAGCATTTCCTACACACCATACAATTTTGAAAATATTTTGACTCTTTTGGAGCTGTTTACGGACATTTACAGTTTTCAATTTTTTAGTTTTTTTTTTCTATAAATATCAACAAAGTTTTATCTGTTGGGTCAAAAAGTGTAAAAATTTAATACAATGCTCCTGATATATTATCACAATATTAGTTGAAAAATATTAAAAATACATTGGCACATTTTTTTTTTATAAGCATTAAAAGATCGAATTTTGACAAAATGTATCAAATTTAAAATTTAATAATTATTTTGTAGTTAATAATTTATAAATTGTTCAACTTTTATAGCTATGGATTGAAAATTTAAAACAAGATTCCGCATAAGTAGTTAATTCTGTTACCAAAAAATCTAAAAAATACATAAGCACAGTTTATTTTTATAATCATTTTAAGTTCAAATATGGATGAAATTACATAATAATAAACCTAGAATAACTATTTTAGTTATTTTCTTTTGATTGTATAATATTATTCGTGGGTACTTGAAACTTTTAAAGTGTACTATTATATTATATCTATGATAGTTACACGGTTTGTTGTTGGTGTATAACGCGTTATAAGTAACTAATGGATATTGTGATATGATTAATTTGGAATTTATTATAGGTACCTATTAAAGTTCAATTTTTTTTTAATACCATAGATATGTTTATAATATGTCTTAAACCTAGACTGACATACCATCTCCGCTCAGAATCGTTTTGTTTTATTTTGAGCAGCAATAAATCTTGGATGGCCACATCCTATGTTGGCGGCTGGTCTCTACATTAATCAATTATTGGAGAAAGTGTCTTCTTTTTTAATTATAACGTCTTCTTACTTTACTGTACACACAGATATTAAGTTTTAAAACCAATAATTACCGAATAAACAATATTCTACTTATAACCGCTCTAAATCATAACTAAAGATTATACAACAAACTCTTGTCTCCAAATTGGTTTGGAAAATCAGTGGTCTATTATTTATATTATGCTCAAATCATATAGAATCGGTGGGGAGCGATGAATGCGTGGGTTTTACAATGTCTTTTTTATATTTTTTTATTATTTTTTAATAGAAAAAAATTAATTATAAACTTTTAGAGTGGTTTCTGCTTTCTGTTGATAAATCAAATCTTTTTGGGACTTTGGAGGAGAAAGGTTATAAATTAGATGATCCCAGTACTTGAAATTAGAAGGTTCCTCATAAGTTGTTCTCATAGTATGTACCATAAAATTATCAAAAATACAGTGGCATGAACATTTTTTAAAAGCATTTTAAGCAGGCATGTTTTGAATAAACATAAAAAGATGCAAATTATTAATAGATAATTTAACACATTTATTAGTGACTTACTCAATGAAGAGGTACCCTCGATACCTAATACTTAGCTGAGCATATTATAAAAAATAAATATATTTTGTGGTTAAAAATTCATAAAATATTAATAAACTTTTATATCTAAGTATTGAAAATTTAAAACAAGGTTCCACGCAAATAGATTATATATAAATTACTTTATTCTCAATAATTATCATCAAAAATACTTAGTAATATCACAGGCGATTGATATTCATCATTTTATATTTATGCACTCAGAATAAATATATATAAAATATAGAAAAATATGCGCCACTATACATATAAATTACCTAACATTAATGTTCATAATATCAAAAGTATTGAAATGTCCCAAAATACTTTTATCTTGTAAATTATAATAATGTAAACATTTAAAATGTAAGTTTAAATCTTATAATATATATGTACATAGTTTAAATTTGTTTTGGAGTGCCTATTTAATTATATTTTTCTTTTGGGCATCCATTGATAAACTTGACTGATTTTAATGATATTAAATTGGTACTAACGTTCTATTGATTGATTGTATTCTATGAAAAATTGCTTTACTAATAAGACTATAGGACACTAAGGTATAGGAGAATCTCTTATATTTTTCTGTGTGTATCAGAGTCTTCACTGTTCAACAACCAAAGGAATCAATGGAATAGCCAAGTTTTTTAGCTTGGTAACCTCCTCATCCCTATTTATGCAAAAAATAAATTTACTAAGTGCTTCAAATATGAAAAATATAGTTCATATTTGATAAATTTATTGTGAAGAATGACGACTACACCGGAAAGTGTGTGATCCCCACAAGTCATATTTAAATTTAAAACAACCCTTCTAAAAATAATCCTGGCTATTGATGGGTATTCTCTTAACCTCAGAATAGTTTTTTCGCATCAAATTTTCTTAACATATTACTTTTTTTTTTTTTTGTTGTTCTATAACAATTATTTATTTATTAAGATTTGAAAATGATGAAAACAATTATTATAGGAATTTCTTTATAATTTCAAATAAAGTATGTTATATTTTAAATTATATTATCAGTTGTTGATTACAAAATAATGTTTATGCTATAATCATTCCACTTAATATTGTGTTTGCATCAGTTTTAAAATTAAAATATGTATACATTTATAACAATTTTCGTTGAGGAACCATAACATCATAACATTCATTTATCTTTAACAAACATTCCACTCTATAATAAAGGTTCAAATTACTAAGCTAAACTATGTTACTCGTAAAAAAAAATGTATTAGGAATTGGAAAACTGATAAGAAATAATTCGAAGAATCTAAAATATGATTCATTCTTGAGTTTGTACAATGACCATAATGCTCCCCTTGATGCAATCCACTTGATGATTGCTCCAGTCTTTAGTTTGACAAAACGTAGAGCAATATGGCGTACGTCGACACAAAGAACATTCTGCATATGCATCTCTATTGCAATTGGCACACTACAGAAAAAAAAAATTGTATGCAAAGAATAATATACAACTATGCGTTCCTGTATATGCATTTTACCTTTTTAGCATGTGGTGTATAATGATAACTTGGCTGTAATGCTGCCGCCACACTTGAAATTGTCTCCATGTCAAAATCATTCCTATGAGAAATAAATTAACACCAGTTTATAAAATCAATGACGTGACAAACATTATAAATTATTAATTACCTATTTTCTATAGAATTCTCATTGGCCTTCTTAAGTTTTGCTAACAACTCCTGTTTTTCCGTACTCCATTTGTACTTAGCAACACGCATAGAGTTACGAAAATGGTGAGCCATTTTAATCATTCTTGATGACATCTTAATTCCGAATGAAATATAAATATTAATGATACTAATTATACATTAGAATGTAATTGATTTAGTAAGAAACAGATTTTATAAGGAAAGTTTAAATGTTTTACTAATTTAATAAAAGCACTAAAAAAATATACATACATACATTTATAAAACCATAATTTTCATAGGGTAAACAATTTTAAGACTTTAAGGGCCGATTTCACCAACACAGATAATCACGGTTAAACTTCAATTAAGCTTAATCAGCTGATAACAGATATTTAAACGTCCAAATTCGGCCGATTAAACTCCGGTTAACCTTAACTGTGATTAATTGTGTTGGTGAAATCTGCCCTAATTGATATTTTCTCCTATATTTGTTAGGTACTTTCATGCCTAGAAGAGAAAGATAACCTAACCTCTATAATAAGAATGAATGAACGAAAAATAAAAACATTTACATAGGTACACATTTTTTCTTTACATTTGAATAATGTTTGTATTTGTATTTGCATTTTTAGTTTTTAGTAATTTTTAACTTTTAACTAATAAAATGAATCCAGAAAATTATAAGTATGATAACACAATAATCACTGAGACATTTTAATAGCTCCATACAATTATGTTTTTTACACATTTTAAAGAAATATTTATTTAAATAATAATCTGTTCCTCTAATGAAATATAATTGAAAAAACTTACATTTTCTAACTTTTTAAACATATCTTCTATTGAATCATTTGATTGAACAATTTCAGCTTGAGAAATATCACCAGTCTGTAGAAGTATGGATTCATCATCATTTATATCGAAATCTACATTGTCTAATGATACACCTATCCTGCTTTCACAACTATCTTCATCATTACTAAGAGTTATACCATCTTCAATTTTTTTCTTTTTTGAATGACTAGACGAATGGTTTTTGATACTTATTCGTTTGTATGGAGTATACAGTCGTATGGGGCCAGTCTAAAACAAAGTATAGAACGATCATAAACATCTCAATAACAAAAATTACCAATGACCAAGAATATTATTGTACTTACAGCAGATTCGTCATCACAGCAGGCTGCACATGTACAACTCATAGCATGTGGTACTAAAACTCCATCGTATATTAATTTTTGCAAACTACGGCCACCAAATCGTATACTTCTTTTCCAGTCTTTACTAGAAGCCCTCCCACAAAGGGCTTCAAACTCGCTAGGTGTGTACCAATGGTTTTCAAATTTAATACACTTGCCTCGACCGCCAGAACCAAATTTTTTTTTATGCAGCTCTGCATTAGTGGTCTACAGACGTCAGACATGATGAAAAATTATGACAATTACTCTAGGTATATCTAGTAGTAGGTCTCTTTTTTATGTATATTAAAATATATCCTTACTTTGCATCGTACTGATAATACTGGCAACTTGGCAGCTTCGGTATATGAATAACAAGGTGCTGTATTTGGGGATGATACACCTTGATCAGTCTCTTCTTTGTGAAAATTATTAGTAGTCGAGTTATCTGGTCCAAGTACAATATGGGCAGGTTTGAAAGCGCCATCCTTAATAGATTAAATTTTATTAGTAAATGTTCAGTTGTGAATACCAAGGAGTTTTAAAATTTAAATTACTTCGGCTGGAACTACAGTTTGCCACGTATCACCATTAACTTGAGTGGGTGTATCACACTTAAAAAATCTATTATCCAAGCACAAGAGAGGTTTTAAATCATGTGATCCCGAAAGCTGAAATCAAAAATTCAAGTGCAATAACTTAAGTCATGATTAATACAATTTTAAACTACAACAATCACTATAATAGTAAAGACAAAAAAAAATATTTAACATATTTAGAAGGTTAAAAACATGTATATACATGTATATTATTATGATAAATTGCCCAAATTTAGACAGGTTCCCAAGCTCAGATAGATCTAGCAAGTTGCCGAGTGTACGTCCCTATGCCAGACTATATTTTGGTAGATCTTGTATATAATTTACTTGTTCTAACCTAATGGCAAATTTAACAGGATTTGGACTAGTAAAAGTTCTAAAACTTAGTAGCTTGATACTTGGCCTATCCAACACTGCTGGTGCCTAAACTTTAAAGGTAATAATCGCCTACAAAGTTCATCTATAATAATGTGATAATAAAAAAAGTAATTTTATCACATATTACATTCATATAACAATCTGTGATTTTATAGTAATTAATTTTTCTATAAAAAGTATGTTTATTTAATCAATTGTTCGATAGGAAATACTGTAGGGTTGCTATACGTTCCGATTTGTCTGGGACAGTACTAGTTTTCAGTATGGCATCCCGGTGTTCCAATAATGTATTTCGAGACAGGCAATTGTCCCGGAATGAGACTTCATTATTTTATATTTGTCTTTTATTAAATACTTTTGGTTAAAATAGTTTGCCCAAGTACCAAACAACACAAAATAATCTGCTAATGGAGAACACATCGACCACAGATTAATTATTTTATATTTAAAAAAATGTTGGAACTTTTCGACTTTACCGGGCACCCTTTTTCGTAGTATAGCGGTATAGGCAATGATTACACGTCTTACAGCACTCGTCGTTGAGCTTCAAAATAGTGAACTTCATTAGGCCATAACTTCAAAACTAAGTCTGTTCGCCAATCGGTTTCAGCGTACTTAACTACATAAGTTTCAAAAAAAGAAAAAGCAACAAAAAAAAAAGAGTGCCCGGTACAGTAGAAATATACCAAAATGTTTTCCCCTGTATTGTCAAATAAAATATGTTAACCCTAGAAAAAGGCTCCAAAGATTAAACTGTGTCTTGACGGTATTACTAGCTACACTAGTACACAACAGTACATAATATTACAAAATATTCTCAAAACTCATGAATGTTGAATACTCTTAATGCAGTTGAAAACCCGTGCAATAATAAATACCTAAAAACTGTTTAGTGATAGATTTTGGTCCAAGTGAAACATTATTATGAGTGACAACGCATAGTTAAGTTCTGTGAGTCCAAAGACTTGTAGTTTTTTTTATAATAGGTGGGTAAGTTGTGGGTGACCTACGTTAAAGAGAAAGTAGGTACTTGAAGTAGATTTTATTGCTTAATTGTGTTAGCAAAAGAAGTTTGGTACATCAGCTGTAATCTATTTAATAATAAAAATGTAATATACTTATTATAATATGAATTTTATAATAATATTGTTGGTTGTCTAGCACATGATGGAAGTCGACGCCGTCGCTGAATATCATAATACGAAATCGGGATGGGTGTCCAAACCAAAGAGCATCCGCGGGATAAGATCCCACTCGTAGCAATATTAAAATACAATGGACAAAATATAATCATGCATTATTATGTTTTACAATGGCCCAATTGAACTAAACATTTTAACGATAAATAATAATTACCTAACCGGCGGGAAAAAAAACCGAGAAAATATCATGTACAACGATCGAGTCACGTCGTGACGGCACAAAAATTAAACGTTGTCAACGTTGTCGATCACATACCTGCAACGAGTCGGCGGTCATAACGTTAGAGCCCGACACGTAATTTAGCTGCCCGAAGGGCATGGACGACACTCGTACTTGTGGCGACGCGGCGTGTTCAGCTGCACCAGTGGCGTACGTGGCGGCCGACACGGACAAGTTGGACAGCAGCGGCGGCGGTCCGTTGCTGTCTTCTTTTAGCGCGTCCGCGGCCGTGAAGACTAAGACTTCGGTGGCGCTCGCACCGGTTTCGGCCATGTCCGTCTGTACGGCGAACTTTTCCGAATGATGCTGCCGGCCACCACGTTCGTCCACCTTCGCCGCTTGCAGTCGATGTTGTTGTCGTTGTTGCTGCTGCTGGTGGTGGTGTTGGTGCTGACGGTGCTGTTGTTGGAATGGTTGCTGATGTTGTTGTCGGTCGTCCGTGTAACCGCCGCCATCGTCGGTCACGCACATATTATTATAATAATAAAATATATTTTCTCGATCTGGGACAACGTCTGGGATAAAAGTCGAGTGATATTTATCGTTTTACTGCCAAACCGGTGACGAACGTTCGTTCGTGTTTTCGCGTCCTGTTCGTGCGAAACCGGACACCTGCAACCACGGACTATGCTGGGTTGCATAAACGATCGATAAGTAGTTATCGGTTCGATAAAACAGAAATCGGTGCGATAAAAATATTGTCTGTTGCATAAACGACTTTTATCTTTTAACGATCCGATAAATATGTTGTTATCGGTTCGATAAATTGAAGGCCCGATTTTGGTTCGATAAATAATAGAAAGAACTCTATAACTTTATTGAACTGATAACAGTGTTTTATCATTCAGTCATATCACGGTATTATTGATCATATTGTCGGCTATTGATTATTGACTATTTTATTAATCATCCTGTTATTAATTATTAAACGATTTTTTTAAATTAGTAATTAATTGTTTTAAAACTATCTAACATGAATTTAAATATATCATCATCATCATCGTCATCATCATGTTCCTCATCATCTGATGATGAACAGGTTTTTGAAATGGTTGTTAATCTTCCAAGACCACGCACATTCCGTAATCGTTTCAATCCTCTTGAAAATTACGACGATTTGGACTTCAAAACAAGATTTAGGTAAGGTTCTAATGTGTAAATACCAATAATTATGCATAAACGCCAATAAGTCTAGCATAAGTTATAATAATAATTATTATTATAGCTAAATATTTCACAAGTATTTTATTTAACAACTTTATAGATTGACAAAGAACACATTTATGGTGTTACTTAGTGCAGTCGGCAATGACTTAGAACATTATACTAACAGAAACTATGCAATCGTACCTGAGGTTCAACTGTTAATAGCATTAAGGTATTATGCAACTGGAGCATTTCAAGTAAGTTATATTTGTGAATCTTTGCTTAATCTAATTCTGACCCTTTTTATAATACTTAAAAAATATTAATTTAGTATTTTACACGCTTTACTTTTTTTAGGCGGTTTTAGGCGATCATATACAAGTCCATAAGTCTACTGTATGCAGAATTGTAAAACGTGTTTCAAAACGTTTAGCGTGTCTTCGCCCCTTATTCATTAATATGCCTAAGAACCAAAATGAAAAACAAGAAGTACAGATTGGATTCTACCGAACAAATAATTTTCCTAGAGTTATTGGTGCTATTGACTGTACACATATCAGAATACAGTCCCCAAATAGTGATATAGGCGAACAATTCCGAAATCGAAAAGGCTACTTTTCATTCAATGTGCAAGCCGTGTGTAACAGCAAAATGGAAATAATGAATATTGTGGCCAGGTATTATGAAAAAATATTTTTAGTTAAATTCTATTAAATATTAATACTGTGTATTCAGATGGCCAGGATCTGTGCATGATAGCACTGTATTTGACAACAGTTTACTGCGGGCCCAATTTGAAAACAATGAGTATGATGGATGTTTTCTTCTTGGCGATGGTGGTTATCCATGCAGGAGTTATCTCATGACTCCCTTACTGAATCCCACAACTTATTCCGAAAAAAAATATCAAGTAAGCATATTTCAGATATTGTTGTCATCATGCAAAAAGTGACCATGTATAGTAACCAAGTGAATAACATTATCATATAATGCGTTATTTTAACTATATTTTTATATATTATGTAACCTACCACTAAAACACGATAGTACTAATAGCACATTTAATACATATTATATACCTACATCATCATCAAAGAATAATATCAAGTTTGATACAAATGGATATAAATTGTATTTCTCATATATTAAACTTGTATTTAAAAATACATTTGGTCAGTTTTTGCAATTCATAAATATTACTCCATTACTCTAAGATGCAGCTAACTTCTAATTTTATGTTAAATACAGAAAGCCCAAATAGGTACAAGGAATGTGATTGAACGTGTTTTTGGAGTTTTAAAACGACGTTTTCCTGTCTTATCTGTTGGCATTCGTACTAAACCAAGCACAGCGTTGACAACAATTGTTGCTACTGCAGTCTTGTATAATATTTTACTGAAACAAAACGATGAAATGCCATTAAATGAACAGCAATTAGACAATAATTTATTAGAAGAACTACCAGCTTTGCCAGTAAGACAGATCGGAAACGTTGTAAGAAATGATGTAATAGAAACTTATTTTTCTTAACGGTCAAATATTAAACATTAATTTGCTTAATATATTGTATGTTTGTTCCTTACTATTTAAGTATAAACATAATAAATTACTACCAATACATTCTTATTTATATAATTAGCTTAGTATAAGTTATAAAGGTATATTATATACCTATAAATTCATAACATTGTAATATTTATTGTAATTTGTAATTGCTTTTCACTTATTATGTATAATGTATATGACTTATTATTATTCATTCAAAGTTTGATCTTTAACTACTGTAAATTAATTTATATTTTAATTTGTTAAACTATAGTTGGAAATAAATAAATATTATTATTATAATTATATTACTAACCGTTTTATTATGCACAATAATTGAAGTGTTACTCTTAAGATTCCAGTTCTATCAAAAAGAGTTCACCGTTTATTTTATAGCCATAAGATATTTTTATACATTTTTCTTTTAATATTAAATTTGATTATTTATACAAGTATGAGTAGTATGACACAGAAAAAAAATATGAAAAAAATGAAAATTGAAGATTTTTGGTTTTTAAAAATAGTTAAACAAAAAACTATGTTTCTAAAACATTGAAATTAGTTTTTTTTTTTTAAATTCAAAATATACGATGGATGTAACTTATTACAATAAACAATTTAACCTCCGGTGTCTGTAGCCCTACAGCTAACTGTTTTGTTGTAAGACAACTCGTAAAAGAGCTTTTGAAAAATGTTATTTTAAGGATTACCTATTTACGTATTGCCAGTTTTGTAAAAGGTACTTTTTAAAAGTATTCACTGTACTGATACAGAAAAATGTACTTAAAAAAAAAAAAGGTTTTGTTTTAGAATAAATATTTTTATGATTAAAATATATAACAATAACAATAAAATATAATTCCTAATTATTAAAAAAAAAATAAATAATATTAACAGTCAAATATCTTTTGATTAAAATTAAAATAAAATTACAATTCCTTTTGTTTTATAAATAATAAAAAATAAATTATAATAACAGTCAAATATCTTTTGATTAAAATTAAAATAAAATAACAATTCCTTTTGTTTTATAATTAATAAAAAATAAATAATAATAACAGTCAAATATCTTTTGATTAAAATTAAAATAAAATTAAAATTCCTTTTGTTTTATAATTAATAAAAATTCCTATAATTCTTTTAATTTTTTTTTCAGTTCACATTCTAAAATCTCTTCTTTGAGCTTGTTTTGCTTTGCTTGGGATATATTGTTGTCTCTTTCTGCCTTCAGTTTTTCGATAGTCACAATCTTTTCTATTTCTAAAATTTCTAGCTTTATATCTAAATGTTTTCTTTTAATGATGTTGTTGTCATTTATAAATGCTTCTTTTAAACTATACGAACTTAATCGCTGGTTAGTGAGTTCGTTTATACTTTCATAAACTCTCTTGGGAGGTACACGCGTTGTTGAAACCTTGGGCAATTTTCCTTGTGGCGTTGAAGTTTGAATCTGTTTTGACTGATCGCAACTTATTAGGTTTTCTAAACAAAATTCAACAGTTGTACAAAATGTGTTTAAAAATTTGAATAACAATGTTTACCATATGATGAGTGTTGTTGATCATCTACAACTTCATTCAATTTAGGAGATTTTGGGAGTGAGGTGACTTCCATGGATAAATTTAAATCATTAGGGCCCAAATAAGAATCTAAAAAAAACAAACAATAAAATATTCTCAAATTAAATTTTAAAAACTATAAAAAGTACTTACATTCTACTGGACTACTTTCATCAAACATCATATCAATACATTGATCATCAGTAGAAACTGGAGTATAACTTTTCTTTATAGTTGCAGATGTACTGGCAAAATCTCCATCACTATCATAAGGTGAATCTACTGATTCGAACCGGTTACCCATCATGCCAATTATTTTATTGCTTATCGTAGAAGAGTGTATTTGAGATTGTCCTCCTCCAGTTTTATAAGTTTCTCTCTATGAAAATCATATTTGAATGTTATGAATATAACACAACAGAAAATATAGACAAAGATAGCTCAGTTATTAATTAAAATTGTAAAACCTATCTGTTGTATTGTTATAAATTTAAAAGCATAAATTCATTGTAAATTGGGACTCCATAACTAATTTTTGAATAGCTAAAATATACATAACAAAAACTATGTTAACGAATACCACCAATAAACAATTTTAAAATTTTGTCACCGAGGTAAACCTCTGGTAACTTATACAGTGACAATCAAATCAAATCAAAACAATATACTACTTCAACTATCAAAAGCTACCTACGTTATTCATTAAATTATTGTACATAGTACTTACTTTTTCATTATTTAAATCAGATTTGGCTGTTTTGCATAAAAGTTGGTTCATCATTTTTAGTTCATCTCTTGTTTTCACCCCACTAGTTTGCATTTGGTTATATCCTTCAGCAATTGTATTCCATGCATTGGTTTGTATATCGGAACAAGCAAATGGATCCTACATAAATACATATATATAATTTGATAAATTAATTAAATGTAGAAACAATTAATTACAATGTATTACATACAACAGATAATTTGTTGTCTGAAATAAGATCCAACATCAATTCTATTTCTCGGTCAGTTTGTACTGTGGCCTGATGTATGTAAGAGTTAACCTGTTTTAAAAAATATATCATTTACTATAATCTACAACAAAATATTTGACACATGTTTGAGCACTATTAAAAATAACATAAATTTGTTAAGTACATTCAACCAAATACAATAAAATAATATTCTTAGTTACAAATATAACCAACCTACTGAGAAAATAATTTAAGGATAGAT